ATATATATATATATATATATATATATATATATATATATGCAATAAAAACAACCATTCATATGGAAGATGTTAGTTTATAGAAATTCTCACCCATTTGATACGTACTTGCCATCTGTGTCTGATGTAGCTGCATAGTGCAGGGGTGTGCAGCCTCTTTCATCAAGGTCATTCACACTTGCTCCTGACCCCACAAGAGCAAACAGGCACTGGTAATTGCAGTTGGCAGCAGCGTAATGCAGTGGAGATCTTTTGTGTGCAAGTTAACAGAAAAAACAAAAGCCAGAGAAGAGACATAAGTTGGTAAACAAGAGCATACTTTACTCCTACAACACCCAGTTATAATTATGATCTTTATGTTGAGCTTTGGGTGGCTGGATAGAAACTAGGAGAAAATAAGGTTGAAAAGAGCTTCTAAGTAGAGAGAAAAAAAGACAGAAATACAGTTACATTATTTCATGGTGCCCTCCCATTCCTTGATTGAACTATATATTCCCATATTTTGCTCAGAAACGTGTTCATTTTAAAAAATCAACTATGTTGATAAAAATGTTCCACAGAGGCTATATTATAGGTAGCAGCATCTGTTTATGTATCGGCACAGAAATAAAGAGTAAGAGAAAAACAGAAGTACTAAAAATAATGTTTGGTTATATTAACTGCATGATAGAACTGAACAGTAATATCAGATTTCTTAACTAATACATAGTTTGGAACACTGTTCACTATTTAGAAGAGCCAGAGTTTCTCTTTATGTCAAAAGACAGTATTTATAGCTGTTTTCTTCCTGTTTATTGCAGTGAAACAGAATGTTACTAAATACAGGCATTCCTGTCTTTGGAGCATAAAACTATGATGATGCCATGATTTTTCATTTAAAGCAGAGAAAACAGAAAAGTTGTAAATTTTAGATAAGTCTTCATGGAATAATTTTTTAAAAACATTTACCTAGTGAAGTGACAGATAAACTATTTTTCCTTTTGGGATAATACTACAGAAATATTTAAAAAAATGTAACAACTCAATTATTTTCACACCTCTGAACTCAGAATATGCTTAGAAACTCTCTCTGCTATTTTTATATAGTACAGAATACTTAATGTGCTGTAAATTAACTGGAGTAAAATGTAATTATGAAAGCTAATCAGCTATAAAAATATTGTATTCCCAAGCTAAACAAAGTGATATAGTAGCTTTCCTTATATTCATTTCTGGCTTTCTGTCATACGTAATTCTTTTGACTTCTCCTCCTGTACTCCCCAATCATATGTACTAAACACATCTGTATTTTTCCTTCTGACTTATACTATGACATACACTATTCTCAAATGCTGACATATACAATTTTGCTCATACGGCCAACTATATCTTTCAAACTGATTCAAACTCCTTTCAACCCTTTCCCCTATGGCTCAACTCCTATTTTAAGTAACTAAGTAGATAACGGTGACTTTAAATACAGATACCACAAATGCTACTAACAATGAAGCCTGAACAGTGAGAGTGAGTGCTGGCCAAGCAATAAGAAAGGGACTCTGTCATTTCACAGCTGCTTTCTCTACTTATCCCTGCAGAAGATACCTGATGAGTTGTGTGGATGTTTTCATATGTGTGTGTGTATGTGTGTGTGTAAGCATTACAGATAAGGAGAAAGAAAAATTACATATACATATTTATAACCTACTTCCTCCCTCCAGATATAGGTAGTACAGTCTCTAACAAAGGGATAACTTGGGAAAGGTAGTGTGGCTTCTTGGAAGAAAATATGTGCCATAAGGTTTTATATCTCCGTGGCCATAATTATAAGAGGGGAGTAATGATATCAAGAAGCAAAGAGGTGCTCAGGAGGGTAAGGCTATGGCTGGTAGCCTGGAGCTGTGGCAGGGGTCCAACTAGCAGAACATCATCTGTGGGTGAAAATGAATATTTAGAAGTTATCAACTTTAGTTGGGCCTCTCGAAAATCATGATCACAATGCAAAAGATGCTGGATTATTTGGTTAATTCTCATACACCAGTTAAAAAGTCAAACAAGTCATTAAGTAAATAAAATTTATTAGGCTCTACTGAAGAAATATACTATACCCTACCTTCCAAATTTGTCCTTTTTGTTGAAGTCTGCACCAGTATTCAGCAGAAGGTTTAGGCACTCCAAATTTCTATTCAGGAAAATACAGTTAGAAACCTTAATTGTCAGTTATTTTATAATAAACTTGGTAGGTTTAAATCAGTATAAAAGCATGTTACCAGATAAGGCTAATAGTGGATAATAGTGCATGCTCTACATTAAAATTGTAGGAAAGTACATTACATACATGGGTATTTCTGTAATTTAAATTTCATAAACCTGAACATCACCATATGAAGTTGTAATAAAAACTGCCAAGTCAACAGTCATGTTTGCCTGCTCTCCTTCCAAAGACAAGTTAGATGGAGCTAGGTTTTAAATGAAAGGTTTCCATTGTGCTTGGAAGAACAAGAGGAGACAGTCATGTGTTCACAATCCATCTCTACCACTGAGTCTGGCCTGGTGGTATTCTTGGCTAATTATACTTATTCTCTGAAATTATTGTGATTTTGAAAAGAATTATTATTGGGAATAATATTCTTACAAAACATCCTTTTGATAAGTAACCATTAATTAAATGGCTTATTGTAGACTTGGGCTCTAAATGACCAAAAGTGTTAGATTAGCTTTTAGAGAACAAGTGTTTTGGTCCATTCATACTAACTGCCTAGTTTCCCCAGCAGCAGTATTTAAAACTCAGTACAAAAAGCTTCCAATCTCAGTACTGGCTCTTCTTATATCTTAGTTCTGAATAGAGGCCAGACATAATCAGACCCTCAACATTTTTCCCTAAAGTTATGATGAAAAACAACTACATATTTATCTACTTAATATTTATATTAGTCAAAATATTCCTAATGTTTTGATGTTCTCATTTGAGGACATGTCTTTTCAAAAAAATTATTTTAAGAAATCACTTTATTTGTGCTTTCATTTACCCAGGAATTATTTTCTTCTATAGAAGGCAACACTTCCTTTTGTAGGTTTACTTTCTCTCCCACTTAGTCTGTAGTAGATAAAAAAATAATTCCTGCTGCCTTAGATTTTCTTCTCCCAAATCATTCCTGTTATGTTTCATATTTTATGCTTGCCCAGAACCAATAAAAAGAAACAAAAATACTTTTAAACATACCCTCCAGCTGCAGCTGCATGGAGACAGGTCCTGCCAAAATCATCTGGGGTATCTATATCAAATCCTGAAAGAATGAATATACCTTATATGAATGCATATTAAAATATTATGTCAAGAATTATCCTACCCTAGAGATCCTGGATAGGGTGGGAAAACTATGTGGAATGAAACTTAAAATAAAATAAAATAAAAAAAGACCAGGTTTGTTGGTCTGATAGATCCTGGTGAGACCCCTGAGACTATGGCTCCTAGTTACCCTTCAGGTCTAAAACTGAACTTACTCCGGTGGCTGCCAGCCTAATAACAGACAGGCATGTGAGGCGAACATTTTTATCAGGTAGATACACTCAATGGAGCGATCAATCATGGAAGAACAGAAGGGCAGTATTTACACAGGGAGATAGCTTGAGGGGCAGAGGGTCAAGAGTGCATGGGAAGAAGGACATAGGAGGAAAATGTAACTACAGGGAGGAAGTGGGAAGAGAGCTATTACATTGTGGGGAATTTCAGTGAATGTCATGAAATAAAACGTGTATGAACTGCTGTATGAAAATGAATTTGCTCTATAAACTTTCACCAAATCACAATTAAAAAAAATCCTGCCCCAATCCCCAGAAAAACTATGAATCCTGAATAGGTAGAAAATTAGTGAAGAGAAAATAAATTAATAATGTATAATATTACAGAAAATCTAGTACTCAAGAATTAGAGCTTTTAGGAAAAATATTAAAGTGCTTATTTAAAAAGGCATAGGATACAATGGATTATTATTCACTAAGAAAAAGAAATAGAGTACTAATACATGCTATAACAAGGATGACCCTTGAAAATATTATGCTAAATGAAAGAAGTTAGTCAAAAAAGACCACATCTTGGATGATTCCATTTACATAAAATATCCAGAGTTTACAGAGAAGCTTAATTAGTGGTTGCTTAGAGCTGGAGGAAGAAAAGTAATGGGAATTATTAATGGAAATTTTTTGCAAGGGCTTTCTAAAATTGATTGTGGTACTGGCTACATAACCCTGTGACTATTAATAAAAAACACTGATTGCATACTTTACTTATTATGTTATGAATACTGTATCTCAATAAAGCTGTTTTTTTTAAAAAGTCAAAGATGCTTTGCTACATGTGGATTATTACCAACACTGAGAAGAGATGTTATCACTGCCTTTCATGGATATAAGGAGCCCTGGTTGTGCAGTGGTTAAGGCATTTGCTGCTAACCAACAGGTCAGTGGTTTGAACCCACCAGCAGCTTGTGGAACAAAGATAAGGCAGTCTGCTTCTGTTAAAAATATAACTTTGCAAACCAAGTGGGGGTCACTATGAGTAGGAACTGACTTGATGGCAGTGAGTTTTTTGTGGATACATGAGTATGTGTATACTTATACACACACACACTTAGAATCAAAACAGAATTAACTCACTTAAATCCAGAGGAAGTACTTATCTTATTCTATAATGTTCATCTCACTGAAACTTACCTATATTTCTTTCAGCAAACATGAGTATTAATACACAAAACTATTTACCTTTCTTAACATTGAGTAATAGAATAACATTTAAAATCAGTGAAGTTTTATTACATATTTTGTAACTCCACATATTAATAAGGCATAATTTTACAGTAATATTTACAGAGTGGCACTGAACCTGTTGTTTTAAACTAATTATGCTTATGGTATTTTAAAATAGTAATTAGATAAAATATAAATTTTTTCATAAACCTAGCAGAAGATAACACAGAATGGCTCTTGGCTTTTAAAACTAAAAGGAGCCACGTCCAATAAGATATGCAGATGAAGACATTTTGCTTCCAGACATAAAGGGCTGATCCAAGAAGACAACCATACAACGTACAGGAGCTGCTCTAGAAACACTCCATACCCCACTGCCTAAAACAGGGAAGAAATCACTGGAAAAATAAAACAATTTACCAGAGCTGAAGAGAAAATCAAGTCTAAAAATGAGAGGATTTAACTAACATCTTTTGAGAGTGGCCAATGAATGACCCACCTTTGAACAGTCTGATGGCGTAGTGCCTAAGGCATTTGACTGCTAACCAGAAGGCCGATGGTTCAAACCTACCAGCTACTCCTCAGAAGGAAAACTGGGCGATCTATTTCTGTAGAGACACCGCCTCGGAAACCCAAGGAGGGGTCGCTATGAGTCAAATTGACTCAACAGTAGTGAGTTTGGTTTAATTTGGTTATATGTGCATTGGGAAAAGCAGGATAAAGGGAGAGTTTTAAAATTTGGGGGACTGGGAAGATAAAAAAGGAGAACCAGTCTGCAAAGGGTCTATTTACCTGAAGAAAGAAGTTTTCTGCAGCAATCTGAAAAACCACTTAAGGCTGCCAAATGGAGGGGAAACATTCCATGTATGCCCCGCCTAAAGGAAATAGGACAGTACCCTGATTACAGCACAAGTAAATACAATCATTTAAGTAAATTACATAGAAACCATGTAAAGTGAAAACATAACTAGATCAATCAAAATCTTTAACACTTTGGAGAGGAATCTGGCAATTATTTAGTAAGGTTTCAGGCAGGTATAACTTATTAACCAGCAATTCTCCTAGAGTAGTTTTTGAGACTCAGCACTCTCATCATTTTGGACATTGTTGTTGCCATGTGGAGTAGGTACAGAAGCTTATTCCATGCATTATAGGATGTTCAGCAGCATTCCTAGGCACTGTTAGATGCTAGTAACAACTTCTTCTTCCAGTTGTGACAACCCAAAATGTTTCCAGACATTTGCCTAGGGAGCAAAATTCGCACAACCACCACCTTCACCTCCTCTTCCTCTTGCCCAACACTGAGAACAATTCCCACAAGGGAAAATGTTCAACAGTGTTTATTACAATATTTTTTTAATAATAGAAACAAGCAAGTAGCAATGTATGTGTACATAAGGTGAAATCTTCATACAATAATTCTATAAAATGAATGAAATAGTTATTTGTAAAAATGTGAATTAAGCCATAAAGCTCAAATTCTATCTACACGACTAAATCAACAACTTGATGTAATGTATATATAAAGTATAAAAACGTACACAAGGATGATGACTATCAATTTAAGGTGTTTTTTTTAAAGTAATTAATTTTATTTCTATTAATTTACACAGAACATACATCAATTCAGCAATTTTTACATACATATTTCAGTGACAGTGATTGCATTCTTTGAAGTAGGCAAACATTCTTACCTTCTTTTTCCCAATTGTTCCTCCCCCATGAACATACATACACTCACTGCCCCCTAAGTTTTCTATCTAATTTTCAGAGCTGTTGCTGTCAATTCAATCCTATGTAGATAGATAAAAGCACAATGCTTAAGGCAGATATTCTTTACTAGTTAAGCTAAACTACTGTTGAGTTTTAAGATGACTTTACTGGATATTTTTGGTAAGGGTGCTTCCTTTTGCATAGGGTACAGGAGAATCCATTTTTCAACAAAATCTTACATGGGAACTTTAGTATATAGAACAGATAAAAGTGAATTGCTCTGATCAAAGTGGGGCAAGGGCTTCCTTGCAGCATCTACCAAAGCACTTCTGAGTTCTGTAGAATACAGTGTGAACACCATTATCTTCATAGAGTGTTTGGATAGGAAAGAAAAGCATTTGGCATAACTTATTTTTAGGCATTTTATTTACTTCTAGATTAAAAAGAGAGACCTCTTGATCAAAAGAGGCGTAGGAATGCAGAACAGAGGTTCAAATTCTCACGGACTCTGGACTTTCTGGAGCCACAGAGTCTGGATGAACTCCTGAAATTGTTGCCCTAAGTTAATCTTTAAACCTTAAACCAAAAATATACCCCAAAGTCTTCTTAAACGAAGCAAGAGTTGAGCTTAACTAGTAAAAACATGTCCGCCTGGAGTATTATGTTCTTTGAAGAACTATTATGGGATCAAAGTGACAATAGCAACTTGAAAGATTACATAAGAACCTGAGGGGGCAGTGAGGTTTTCTTAATGAGGAAAGAAAAGCTCAGAAAAGGCCGATGACAATGGTTGCACAACTCCAACAATGTAATCAGGAGAGTTCAAGTAAGATGGTGGAACAGGCAAAAGGACTACACAGACCCTCTTCAACAAAGAAAAGGGGAACCAATGAACATAGATACAGAAGATAATCCTGGACCCCTGAGCCTTGAAGGGAAGGATATAGAAGTGGACTAAACTCCAATTAGCAGAAGAAGTTGCATGAAAACACCAAAAAAGGAGACAAACAGAGCTGTGGTCTGGCAGTGATCCTGACAGCACAGAAAGATTGGATATTGACAAGTGGTGGCAGGACCTGAGAATTAACCTAAAAATTGGCGCTATTAGCCAGGGACTGCATGGAGGACTGCTCTGGTGGCTGGGGAATAAAAGGGGTAGCAGTGAATAGGAAGGCAGACTGAGCTGTGGACTTTTGTCTGTCTGGAGGGCACAGCAATTTTGAAAGTTTACAAGCAGCTTGACCATTTTGGATATTTAAAGCAACAGTGTTCTCCCAGATCCCAAGGACTAAAGAACAGGCTCCACTTGCCGAGAACCCCAAGCACATTCTGGATCTGGATGACTAGAAAGGTGTGACATTCACCTTGTTATTCTTATACAGCACAAACTCTTGGTGAATGGAGGTGTGGCCATCTCTCACTCCCACCCACTTTCTGGGCCAGCTACCCAGAGGGACCGAGTAGTTGAACCTGTGGGCTCGGGACCATAGTCACAGGGCACATCAAGCTCAACTGGAAAAACATACTGCACAAAACATTGTTCCATCTCCTACTTTGGCGAGTAGTGACTGGGATCTTAAAAGCTTGCAAGCAGCCATCCAGATACGATAGGTCTCTCCTCGTCCAGAGCAAAGAAGAATGAAGAAAACCAAGGATTCATGGAAACAATCAGTCCCAGAGACTGGCACACCATGCAAACCTTAGCTTATACGTGATTATGAGACCAGAAGAACTAGATGGTGCCCGGCTACCACTGTCAACCACTCAGAGGGGGATCTATGGAGGAGATACTGGATAGAGAAGGAGAATAATGTGGAACAAGACTTACAATCATTTGGGGACAAAAGAGGGCGGGGGTACTAGGTTTGCTGGTCTGATAGAGCCTGGTAGAACCACTGCAACTATGGGCCCTACCTGCCCTTCAGGTCGGGAATTCAACTGACACCTATGGCTTCCAGCCAAACAAAAGACAGGCATATGAGTTGAACATTTACCTGAGGTAGATATCCTCCTTGGAGAGAATAATCATGGGAGAAAGAAAGGCTGTTTATGCACAGGGAGACAGCTCAGGGGGCAGGAGTGCATGGAGGGATGGACACAGGGAAGAGGTAACTATCGGGAAGAAGTAGGAGGGGAGCTGTTACATTGAGGTTAAATGTAGTCAATGTCATGTGTATGTGAACTGCTGTATAAAAAGTGAATTTGCTCTGTATATTTTCACTCAAATTACAATTAAAAAAAAAAAAATTCCCTGAATCAAGCGAGAATGAAAACACAACATACCAAAATCTTTGGGACAAAACAAAAGCAGTGATTAGAGGCCAATTTATAGCAATAAATGCATACATCCAAAAAGAAGAAAGAGGCAAAATCAATACTTTAAACCAACATCTCCAATAATTAGAAAAATAACAACAAGCAAAGCCTATGTATAATCACCAGGACAAAGGAAATAATAAAGATTTGAGCAGAAATCATTGAAACAGCAAACAAAAGAGCAATAGAAAAAAAAAAAAAAAAATCAACAAGACCAGAAGTTGGTTTTTTGAGAAGATCAATAAAATTGACAAACCACTGGCAAATTTAACAAAGGAAAAGAGGGAGAGAATACAAATAACACGAATAAGAAATGAAATGGGTGACATCACAACATAGCCAACTGAAATAAAAAGGATAGTATCAGGATACTACGAAGAATTGTACTCCAACAAATTTGAAAATCTGGAAGAAATGGACAGATTTCTAGAAACATACCACTTACCTAAACTAACACAGACTGATGTGGAAAAGTTGAAAAGATTCATAACAAAAGAAGAAATTGAACAGGTCATCAAAAAATTACCAACCAAAAAAAATCCTGGGCCAGACGGTTTTACCAGAGAATTCTATCAAACATTCAGAGAAGAACTGACACCAATCCTACTCAAACTATCCCAAAACATACAAGAGGATGGAATCCTTCCTAATCATTTTATGAAATAAGTATAACCTTGATACCAAAACCAGGCAAAGACATCATTCAAAAGGAAAACTACAGACCCAATATCCCTCATGAATACAGATGCAAATATCTTCTACAAAATCCTAACCAATAGACTCGGATAACATATCAAGAAAATCATTCATTATGACCAAGTGGGGTTCATAGCAGGTATGCAAGGATGGTTCAACATTAGAAAAACAATCAACGTCATCCACCACATAAATAAAACCAAGGAAAACTACATGATCATATCAATTGATGCAGAAAAGACATTTGATAAACTCCAACACCATTCCTGATCAAAACTCTCTGCAAAATAGGAATAGATGGGACATTCCTCAACATAGTAAAGGGCATCTATGCAAAACCAACAGCCAACATTATACTCAATGGAGAGAGACTGAAACCATTCCTCTTTCGAACAAGAACCAGACAAGGATGCCCTCTATCACTATTGTACTGGAAATCCTAGCCAGGGCCATAAGGCAAGAAAGGGAAATCAAAGGCATCCAAATTGGTAAGGAAGAAGTCAAACTATCCCTATTTGC